GAGGAGATAGTAAGACAGGATGTAGCTGTTAAGATGAGCTCACCTCATGATTTTAAGGTGTCCATGGCAAGCATTGTTCTCTGAGAACAACTTTTGACTTTTTTTTTTAATGGAGCGGTTTTTAACTGTGGACACTGCTTTGAGCTGGGTCCTTGACACTCTGACAGATGATTTTCAGGATTTTTGAGGATGAAAGCACTTCTGTTTGAGGGCTTACAGAAGAGACTGGGGTGATTTAGTTAGGATGAGGTGGTATCTCAGGAAACAGAATAGGCTTTCAGGTGTTTAAAGGACTATAAAACTTTAAAGAAGAGAAGTTGGATTTGCTTATTGCAGATCTGGAAGTAAGAACTGGCATCAATAGAAAGATATTAATGGGAAGAGAGTTGGACTTAGTATAAAGGAAAAACAGTTTTGGTTTTTTTATTTGTTTGTTTGGCTTTTTTTTTTTTTTTTTTTTTTTTTTTTTAATTTAGGGCTGTCTGGAAAGCCAGGAAATTTTGTGGGGTAGAGAATGCTTGTCCTTAGGAGTTTCAGATTATGATTGCATAGACATTCACAAGGATTACATGGAAAAAAGTCCCACGTTGGGAGGGAAATAGAGTGGATAACTTCTAAATTTTCTTTAAATCTGGAGATTCCAAATTTTTGCTATGAATATTATTAATTCATAGACTATCAATAGAAAAAATGCAAACCTATTTTTTACAGAACGCAATAAATTTAAAGCACTTAACAAAGTTTTATGAAAAATCTCTACCTTTTTAATTAAAAAAATCTAGTCTACAAACTTTCATTTAGAGAAGATGCTTTCAAAAAGTTAACACTTATTTTCTATCTTATAAATTGAAATTAACAGTGATTAAAGGCTTCACAGTCAGGTAGCTCACTGAATTGGAAAACTCTATAATATTAGTATAATCATATAAAACCCAGGGAATACTAAATTCTATTGTCCCTAAATTTCTAGGCTACATGAAACGGAATAGATTCCTTAGATTATTTTTAAGAAATAAATCAAAATCCCAACTGTTCTCCCTACCCTTTATAAGTAAATAGATTTAACCTGGTACCTTTTTCCAAACCCAAACAGGTAACTCAGTTATTTTAACGATCATTCTTCAAAGCTTTAACAATTGCAAGCTGGTTTGCATTTTAGATTATTAGTTTTAGAGAGTAGGAACTGGGTTACTCTGGCTTGTCACTGAGCACAGCAGGCAGGTGCTCGCAGTAAACAGCCATGTCTTAAAGAAGAGACCATGAAACCCACTCAGTTTGAAATCCTGGTCTTAAAGTCTCCATCAGACATAGCCTGCATCATGAAGCTTTTCATAATCTCTTTCATTATCTCTCACTCTTCTTGTAAAAACCTTAAAGAATGCAATAATACATATCACCATTCATTAGCTCTCTATTTATTTAAGTAGATTGCATTCATGAATAGCATTAAAAGGGATTTAGTTTATTCTGGGTCTGCCTTGCAAATTGGATTCTCAAGTCATTTTAAAGACACAGTTGTAATGCAAATAAAAATTCTATTTTAGAGTCTAACTTAGAAAGAAACATAATCATGAATGTTGAGTCTAGTATAAAGCCTTGTTTGTCCATCTATCTATTCTCTCTCTCTCTCTCTCTTTTTCTCTCTCTGCTATCTGGATGAATGTTTAAATACAGATATTTTATAAAAATAATATTTTATAAAAATGAGTGGCAATGCTATTTATATCAAAACAATTAGCTTTTTTCTCCATTGTCAAGGAATAAAAGGAAACATGGAATGGTTGACCTTCAAATAAGTTTACCTCATTTCAAGGTATATTATTTCTTCAAAAGCATCCCTAGGGCTAAAAAAGTATGGAAAACATCAAGAGTTTGGAGCCATTGTCATTAATTATATTCCTGCTTTTATGATTTTTTTCCCTTTAAATTCCCTTTTTAAAAGAGTAACACTTTTGAAACTTCTGCCCTACTTCCTCTCTCCACCTCCTGAGAATGGCTAGATGTAATGTTATTTTCACATGGTTCATGTTATAGTATTCTGTTTTGCTCTGTGTACACAATTTTGAGGTTAACTCTATTCTTAAAGGAATTCTTGATACATACAGCCTCTGGATGGATCTTTGCATTTTACTTTCAGTTAGGGCAAAGGTCAACCCAAGAACCCACTTACAAGGTCATTAAGAATCCATAATATTTAGTGTGTCTGGAATAGTGCAAATCATTATCACTTACTCACTAAAGTGGAGTTGAAGGCCTGGTACTTGTCATTACTGAACTCTAAAATTTCAATGTTGGATAACGCATAGTCTCTGACGTTAAAAAGTGAGAGCAACCAAAATATATAAACTTCCTAGTGTATTAACACCATGAAAGGCTGTTTCATTATTTCTTTATCCTCAGTGCCTATCATAAGGCTAAGTATTCCTCTAAATTAATACTTGATAATTAAATGTAACGTTATGCACCAGAAACTAGGTGAGCACATGAAAAGTTATATCTAATTTTATCTTGACATCAAGCTTATAGGTGGGAATTTATGTCTTTATTTTATAGGTGGAAGAATTGTGTCTTAGTAATATCCCAGTTATACAACATATACTAGTGATTTGATTGTACAACTCATGACCATTGGCTTGGCTCATATATGTTGAAAGTAATATGGGTACAGGAGCCTGAGCTCTGATTACAGCACAGTGGAGTGACTAAGATAGTGTACAGTATATGTAATCCAGAGACTGTGAGGTTGCTTGGTGTTGAACCTCCACTGTATCATTTACTTGCAATATGACATCCAGCAAGCTCCTTCACTTCTCTAGATTCGATTTCCTATTCGTAAGGTGGAATTAACAGTGGAACAATTAAATGAAATCATTCAGGTAAAATGTTTAGCATAATGCCTGCCAGAGGTGCTCAAGAAATAGTAGCCATAAATATTATTTTTACAAAGTGCTCTGAATGCTCAAAGGAAGGAATTTCTGGGGGAGGAGATCTTTGTACTTGGGTTCTGCAAGAAGCATAGGAATTCATCAGGTGACAGGTAGGTGGAATTTTGGAAGAAAGAGAAATATGAAACATAGGACTAGCAATCACCCAGTATTTATCTTACCCTATGTAACTCCTGAAGCTTCCTTCTTTCACTTGTACATCTCAGGCATGTCCCAACAGAGTATTTGTGTTTGGAAAGGCTAACTTGCAAATAGACCATCTTATCTTACTGGACCATCTTCCCATTGAGAAGGTGAATTAGTCAGTGTCTGCACAGCTCCCAGGAAATGTGAAGTGACAGGGCACTATTAGGACTCTCAATCCGGGAGGCCAGAGGCATCCCAGGGAAGCTTATGAGCACCTGATAGTCCTAAGAAGGAGCCTACAGCCTGTCTGCCATTCTCAAATAGTGTTTCTTAACCTTTTTTTCCCCCATTGTACCTTTCCTTTAGACTTTTCCCTAATTACCTCCCACTTGTGAAATGTTTTTGCCATGTAAATATTTTTATTTTTTTTTTTTTTTTGCATAGAAGAACCAGAGATGTAGGCGGTGAGAAGACTCACCAGCGACAGCAGGGGAGAAGACAGATGAATTTACTGAAATACACTGCTGAGGCTAGCAGCGGGTGAGACAGGAGAGGTCTGCTGAGCCATGTGCGTCAAGTCCCTGGCCGGGGATCAAACTCAGGCCATAGTGATGATAGCATAGCGCTGAGACTTAACCCCTAGGCCACCAGGGAGGCCCCTAATGTCACATAAATAAACTGTATTTTTGTGCTGTACATTTATCCCTGCTTTAACCTTAAAAAACAGTAAAAGCCAACTTGAATGAAACAGACTCCGGAGGGTAAGCTGCTGTTGGAAAGCCACTTGTTATTATACTTCCAGTTGCACTTCCACAGGGATATTTTCTGGATAAATAATCTGAGCTACTGTACTAGCCTCCAACTGTCCTCTCTCTGTGTTTCCTGCTCTTTCACAGTCTATTTTGCAGATAGCCACCAGAGCAGCCTTTTGAAAATGCAATCAGATCATGTCTCTCCCCAGCTTAAAACACTCACAAAGCTTCCTCTTGGACTCAGAATAAAACTTGGACTCTATTTCACGGCCCCCAAAGTTTTCTTGATCTGCCTTGCATCTCTCACTCCAGTCGCTTGGTACCAGGGGCAGGTGAGGTGTGTTCCCATGGGCCAAAAAGAAAAGCCATCAGGCAGGAAGTCACATGTACTCTCGGGGTGTAGCTCACAGTGTGTGGAGGGGACAGCCAAGAGGATGTGGGTGGGCACCGACAGCGGGGGCTATGACACAGGAAAGGGCATGTGTCTGCTCCTGGAAGTCAGGGAAGACTTTCCAGAAAAAGTGAGTGATAGAACTACAATATGAAAGATGATTGTGAGTTAACTGTGTGAACGAGGATGGAATCATTCTGTACTGAGTAGGAGGGAGTGGCCTGCCCGTGAGCTCTGAAAGGCAGCTGTGGCCTGGAACATGACGTTGGGTACAGAGTTAGGGTCCCAAGCACATAGTGCTTTTCATACCAGGTTAAAGTCCTAAATCTGTCTTAAGAGCAGAAGAGCCTCTGAGTGGCTTTGCCAGTGTGTGGGCGGAGCTGGGGAGGTGACAAGGTCAGATTTTTGCTCTGAAAACGTTGCTCTGGTTGCCAGTTTGAGCAGCAGGGGAATGAGCACAGACCAGCTGGAGGCTCTGAGCTGTTAGGGTGGCCAGCTGCTATTGCTTTGATGGTTTTAGAACTGAAAGTCCTGCATTCTGGCTACTTGTCGGTCATGGGCCAGACAGCACGCTTGCTCACTTGTTGCTGGCCAGTTGTCTCATGAAAGTGCAGGCGTTTCTCTTCCCTTGACTCACATCAGAAATAGAAGGACCAGCATCACGATCCCCTCTAAAGAAAGCCTCTTAGGACTGGCCACCCCAGCACACAGGCAGCACAGCAACGCACACGCCGCTGATGTACAAATTGCTTTAGGTAGTAAATCTTGATTATTTTTTCTATACAGGCCTGGTGGCATCACATTTTTGACATCTCAAACTCTGGAGCTTGCCCACGCCAAGGTCGATCTAGGTAAGCAAATGGGCTGAATCATCTCCGTGCCTTGTACTTCTGCTCACTTTCACACTGTACCCCGAATCTGCGCTTCAATGCCGACTTTTCATACCTGGCTTCCTGGTTTCACCCTTGCTCGTTCTACAGTCTTACAAGCCCCTGTGCCCCATCCCACTTACTCTTTGACCACACTGTACTACAGACCACGTTAGCAATTCCTTAATTGTCGCCTAAACAAACGTCTGATTTTAGATTTCAGAGCTGCCTCCCTACCCCCTTATCTAACTCGTCACACTTTTTTCTAGTTAACTGAAGCAGAAGATTTTTGTTATTAAACCATCCAAGAGAACTTAGCAATACTGTTACCCTTACTACTACTATAAGTAGTTAAGTGGGCCCACTAGGTGCCAGGGGCTAGCTTAAATACTTTGTATGTGTGGTTGTATGTGTGTTAATAAAAGGATCACTCGTTAGACAGACTTGTTGAGCATGCCTGACAGCAGGGAACATAGCTCTTCTTTTCACAACGGCTTGTTCTACAGGATGAATACAGAGCTGAGAAAGCCACAGTGTGTAATGTGGGGCGGGGTGGGGAGGATGATGAGGTCTGTGGAGACAGCCACTCGGAGTGAGGACTAGGGAGTGACATTACAGTCGCCACTCAAGTCACAGGGGCCTTGTGAGGAGGTTTTGATTGAGCTCATATGAGAAGGTAGCCAGAGACTGAATTGTGATGACTCTGGGGTCGTTCAGGCAAAATGAATGATAAATATTTTGGGTTTATGGTGAAATCCTGAAATCACATCTTCGTTTTTCTGTCAGGCACTCGTCGAAGTTTCACAGATCATGTCTCCCTCTTGTTAAATATCTTAGGGCATTCTTAAAAACTGCTTTTCTCAGTTTTCACTTGTTCTGCCTTTTAATCTAATCTTTAGTGGAAACGTTGGTATTGATGTAGCATTTTACTCTCTAATCTTTTGTATTTTCATATTTTCTTCTCCTTGATACACATTTTAAATGATGGAAAGCCAATTTTGGTCCTGATAATGATTTTTTTGTCCATTTTAATTGTTATGTTTATTGGGAAGTAAAACTGGAGCCATTGTTAGTCATTAATGCCAGTTACAAGTAATAACATGCTTGAACTTGGGGGTGGAGACATAGGCTGGGTTTATATTTCCAGATAATGACAATTTAGCCCACTGTTTACTGAGTAGCTGCCATCTTTAAGGCATGTACTGTAGGGAAAACGAAGTTGGTGATGCTAACAGCCTCTCCCCTCAGGGAGTTTGATCAAACAGAAAAATACCTCACAAAAGGTTAATTGGCAGAGAAAGCAGGTTATGTTGGGACTCGATTCCTAAATGATGCAGGTCTGGAACACAGAATAATAATAGCTTTTACTTACATAGCCCCATACTAGGTATCAGATTCTCTGTTCTAAATGCCAGGTCATCTTTCGGGTATCATTCTTACCTGCATTTTAGACATGAGGAATTGAGGTACATATAGATTATATGGACATCTAAGGTTACCATGCTAAGTGGGACAACTGGGATTTGCACTGAGGCTGTACAGGCTGCAAAGCTGTGCTAAGGGGTAGGAGGGAGCGATGTCCTGGTCCTCAAGATTGTGAGGCCTGAGGCCCAAGGACATCTGAAATCTGAGTTCATGGGCACAGTTAGGATTGCGCCAAATATTCTGACTTAGAATATTTCACAGATTTGAGACCAGAGCAAGGCATGGAGATATTGTGGTTTAGATGCGTAAGAACTGAGAAGGGCCTTGAGTTGAAGATTTTTGCCTTTGTGTGTGGGCCAAAAAAGAGTAATTAAAGCACTTCTTCAAATGGTCCATATTAAATGCCAAGTCAAGGGTTTGGACCAAAGGGAGAAAGGGTTTTAGAAATACTAAGTGGAGAAATCACAAGGTTCTTAAGCAAATAGTGAATTTTCTTTGACAATAGAGGTGGAAATAATGAGCCTTGATTATTCATTGTTTTTTTTCACCCTTGTTAATTTTACATTCAGTGTTTTCAATACTTCACTCACTTTCCTTATAATTCCTGCATTACTGATGAGGGTTTGTCTTTGTCCCCCTAACATTTTTTATGCCACTCCCTTGTCTTCCTCCCCCTTTACCAATCTGCAGTATCTTTTTTGGCTCCAAAAGCCTGGTATCTCATCCTTTATGTGTCCTGAATTTACCTAGAAAATTTGGAGAGTAGATTCTGTTTCTCTGCAGGAGGAATTATGGAATTGTACTGTAAATAGGGAGCACAGATGAGCTCACTGAGGTCCAGAGGCCAGGGGACTCTTAGTTATTGGCCAAGCTGGACTTGTGTCTAAGTCTCCTGACTCTGAATTCATTGTATTTTCCTTGGTCTATGCTGCCTGGGTGGGAACTGTCTCATGGGAAGATTGATCCGCACCAGACCAGTGCTCCACAGGGTGAGTGCTCCATGATCTATGACTTTGAAGAATGGAATTGGTGAATGAGGGAGTCTTCTCTCTTCTGAATGAAACTCAGTGTCCCTGGTCAACCCAGTCAAAGTTTTCAGTGCCAGGGATCTGTGTCAGACCGGGGTCAAATCCAGCTTCAAACCCAGCTTTGTCACTTGCTAGCTGTGAGATCCTTGGCAAGTTACTTCTCTGTGCCTGAATTTCATCATTGTTGATTGGGACTCATAATAGTACCACGTTATAGACTTTCATTTTGTGAAAATGACTGTGTTAAAACTAAGAAAGCTATAAGAAGAGTACCCAATACCTGGTGAGTCATCACTAAGCAATAATAACTAGGTTAACTATTCAAAGACACAGATCACTTCTTCATCCTTTGCTTAAGAATCAAAGCTGAGCAACACTTTGAGTCCTGAGTGTCTTAGCTTTCGGCGGCGGTGTTAGAAGTTGTCAGTGCTGGGAAGACTCTATCCAAATGATTACTTCTATTTAAGTGAAGCTGGGTTTCCCTTAATTACTCTTACAGCCTGTCATTCATTTTGATAGGGTAGCCTTGAGATTGAAATCACTGTTGTGATGGCAAACATATGCAGTAAAAAGCTAAATGATTTATAACAGGTCATATTTTGAAAGTGATGGTAAAGGGAAGGTATTATAAGCAAGGGGGAAGGATGCCCCAAGAGGCCAGTTGAAAATGCCAAAGACAGATTATTCATCCGGAATGATCTGGAGGAAGAAGTCTGATATATAGTTGATGCACAGGAATGTTTTTAAATGGATAAGGTGCCATTTCTCTGGTGACCTTCCAACCAGGTATTTGTCTCCAGCCTCCCTAAATGAAATCTACTTGTGTCTCACCTGCCTTTTATTACAATTTTCAGATAAGTTGTTTAGTTAAAGAAGAGTATGTAGATGAGACTCCTTCTAAAAATATAAAGCATTATGGAGTCTTAAGACTTTGTAGCCTCAGTTCAGCTCTGACAATAATAAATAAATATTCCAGCTGGGGAAGAACATCTCTATTGATGGGTTGTTCTGTGGGTGAGAATTTCTCCATTCTTTTGACATCTGTGTGAGAGTGCCCTTGTGTGTGGGGTGGGGGGCAGCATGAGAGGAAGAAAGGGTGGGTATTTCAGGATTTCTTTTCTACTATGTGTCCTAAATTGTGACCTCACTAAGGCCATATCTAGCTTTTGATTTCCAGTACCCAGGTCAGAAGATAGACAGCTACTGCTGTTGTGATGCTTTCGAAGCTTGATATTTGAGGACTTACTTCTATATTTAAAAACAGATAAAAGGGGAAGGGACATGTAGAAATTGGATGTGGACTGCCTACCTTCTAATAAGGAGAAAATAATAGACTGAGGGGATTTTCTTCCAGAATGCTAATTGTCTATCTAGAAATAACCTAGAAAGTCTCCATGATTGAGATCCTTGCTCCTGAAGAATAGTTCCTTCCTCTGAAAGAAATCTACTTTTAATAATTAAAGCAAGTGTGGGGCCTCCCTGATGGTGCAAGGGGTTAAGCACAGCACCATGAGGCTATCTGCAGCCTCTGCAGCACAAATTCGATCCCCGGCCATCCAAGGCACAACCCATATGGCACAGCAGACCTCTCCTGTCTTACCCGCTGCTCCCCTCAGCAGTGTATTTCATCAAGTCTGCCTGTTCTATTCCCCGCTCTGTCTCTGGTGAATCCTCTCATCCTACCACACCTCTGGCCTGTACCCCAGTTCTTGTATGCATAAATAAGTAAATCTAAAAAAAGTAATTAAAGCAAGTATGTAAAAAAATTCTTTCTATTGGAGTATCTTTCCTATCATTATGGACTCCCCACTTAGCTCTGTAGATCAGCAGATTTTGAAACAGAAATCATGATGCAATTGAACCATTTTATTCATTACACTTTACTTTTGGAAACACTAGCGTGTGGGATGTGAAAATATTTCTGATTGCCCAACTATTCTAAGTCCAAGTATGAGTCAGTCAGTCATACACAGGCATCTTGTCAGTAGTAACATTCCTGCTTGATCAGTTGGTCAAATTCTGTGTGTGATTGAATTAAATGGTCTAATTAACTGAATCAAGAAATTGTGAGTCATTATTTGGATCTTCTGTTTTTATTTGAAGAATTTTACGTTGTAGGATATTGTGGGAAATAGCTTAAGAGAGCAAAGATCCATTGCCTTTTCAAGAAAATGTATACAATAATGTGCAAGATAGTTCAAAATAGACATGGTTCTGAAGGCCAGCTTCCCCAATGATCAAGCCATTCACGGAGGTAAAGTCAACAGGACCTGCTCATGGATTGGAGTCTGAGAGGGGAGAGCTATTAAAGAAGACTGATAGGCCAATGGAACTGGGTAAATCATGATTTCATTTGTTCAGAGTTTGTATCAAATAGTTATCAACGTTCTCTAAGAAACATCATCGTAAGCCTTCCAAGGAAACCTCATTCCATTTGGATGACTTTGAATCTCCTTTCTTTGAGGTGGGACCATATTCATCATAGAGTTTCTTTTCCTTATTATTCCTTCCTGTGTCCCTCACTTCTTC